TGAAGATGAAGATGAAGATGAAGATGAAGATGAAGATGAAGATGAAGGTGAAGTTGAAGGTGAAGTTGGAGATGAAGATGAAGATGAAGATGAAGATGAAGATGAAGATGAAGATGAAGATGAAGATGAAGATGAAGAAAGGACAAAGATCATAGCCCCTTCACTTAACTTAACTCACCTCAACTCATCTCACCTCCGCTTAAAAACTTACTCCACCTGAGCTCACTACATATTAATTCACCACTACTTAGCTCCCCACACCTAAATCCACCACTACTTCACTCCCCACACCCAAATCCAACACACAATTAATTCACCACACCTTAACTCACCACGCCGTAACTCACCACACCTTAACTCTCCACACCTAATCCACCACACCTAAATTCACCACTCCTCAACTTTCTCACCACACCTTAATTCACCACACCTTAATTCACCACACCTCAACTCACCACAACTAAATTCACCACACCTAAGCTCGCCACACCTTTTAAGCCCACCACACCTGAATTCATTACGCCGTAACTCCCACACCCAATTCCGCCACACCGCAACTCACCACACCCAATTTCACCACTTGACATGATATCACTTGATGTGGCATCAATGACAACATCATTTGCCATAAAGTGAACCAAAATAAACCGGATTTTTAATCTTATATAATGAAATATAAAATAATAGCGGCGTTCATACAAATTGATAAACTTCCGATAAGATTAAGATTCATGTAAGGAAGAAGGTAAAGTTGAAGGCAAAGATTAGAATAAAAGTAAAGAAACCTAAATATAAAAGCAAAGAGGAAGGAAAATTTAACTACCTAACCTAATAACAATGGTGGGGGTGACTACGTAAATGAATATATTGATCAGCATAAAGGAAAAGATAAAGATGAAGACGAAGGTGAATATGAAGATGAAGATGAAGATGACTTATGGTACAAAACTCTTAAAAATTGATCTAGGCTTAACACGTGATTCGAACCGACGATCCCACTGAAAGAAATCTGATGAGGAAATGTGGTGATTTCCGAAATAGCTATCACTGCTATCATTTTTTAAATTATTGTTGCTTTTCCACAATAAGATTTTCATTAAAAACGGCCTCAAGCTCAATAAAAATTTTTGAATATAATTGTTATAGGGCCATAAAATAACAAAAACAAATAACTTAAGGACGAGCGCACCTAAGAGTTAAACATTCTAATAATAGAAATATTAACAAAAACCAATAAAACTAACAACCACATGATCAAGTTTAAACAGCACTGGAATAGCTGCGCTTGATTGTAGTTGGTTTAACAAATGAAATAGTGGGATAAAGCAACAAGAATTCACAAGGTGAACTTAGCACTTAGCTGCGCTTAATTGTAGTTGGTTTAACAAATGAAATAGTGGAAAAAAGCAACAAGAATTCACAAGGTGAACTTAGCACAGTGCGTAGGCAACTGGCTGAGTCAGTGGGATCGTCGGTTCGAATCCTACTGAAAGAAGTCTGATGAGGAAATTTGGTGATTTTCGAAATAGCTATCACTTCTCCCATTTTTTCAAATTATTGTTGCTTTTGCACAATAAGTTTTTCATCAAAAACGGCCTCAAGCTCAATAAAAATTGTTCGAACCGACGATCCCACTGAAAGAAGTCTGATGAGGAAATGTGGTGATTTCCGAAATAGCTATCCCTGCTACCATTTTTTAAATTATTGTTGCTTTTCCACAATAAGTTTTTCATTAAAAACTGTCTCAAGCTCAATAAAAATTGTTGAATATAATTGTTAAAAGGCCATAAAATAACAAATCCAAATAATTTAAGGACGAGCACACCTAAAAGTTAAACATTCTAATAATAGAAATATTAACAAAAACCAACAAAACTAACAACCACATGATCAAGTTAAAATAGCACTGGAATAGCTGCGCTTGATTGCAGTTGGTTTAACGAATGAAATAGTGGTAACAAGCAACAAGAATTCACAAGGTGAACTTAGCACAGTACGTAGGCAACTGGCTGAGTCAGTGGGATCGTCGGTTCGAATCTTACTGAAAGAAGTCTGATGAGGAAATGTGATGATTTTCGAAATAGCTATCACTTCTACCATTTTTTCAAATTATTGTTGCTTTTCCACAATGAGCTTTCCATTAAAAACGGCCTCAAGCTCAATAAAAATTGTTGAATTGAACATTAATTAATTTATCGTTTTACTAGATGGGGAGTAAATGTAAGATATTTTTACTGTATGCTTTCATACTTGTTATAGTTAGTCCGGGCAAGATTGTTTGAACTTCTTAGAAAATCAAGGTTTAGGATTATGGTTGGAACAATCTGGTGAATCAATTCACAGAGAATTTCTCAAATTTTGGGAAAGATATAAAATTAATGTTATTGAAAATCCGACTTACTTGGTGAGATAAAAAAAGCAGTGGTTGAGTTCTCATCTAAGCATATTTAAAAAATATAGAAATACAAAAAAATACAAAAATAAAGAAAATTAAACAAAAATATATATAAATAGCAAAATACAAATAAAAGCAATGGGTCCAGTTCATCATCACGTAAGAATTTGTTAATGTTTCTGCATTTCGTTCATTTGCGTGTGTGAGAAGGTATTTCTGCGAATACTGGGCTGCTTACTATTTAAGCAAAGTATTTAACTAAATACTAACATTACATTTTTCTCAATTGTGACTATTTTTCATGTTATTATTATCTAAACAGTTGAATTGAAGCTGTATGAAATAATCTTTGAGCCGCTTTACGAGGAAAAATTTTTTATATGGCTATATCTCAAAAAAAAGGATCCGCTGTGATTTTTGTTTTTACGATTTTTCCACATTCAATTTAAAAACAAGCTCTCGCTTGCCAAACGGAGCCCCATTTAAAAAAAAAAAACCCTAAAACTGCTTGAGGCTCACTGTGTAGAGGCTTAGTGGTAGTGAGACTTTCGATTTAGTACAATTTTCCAAACCCTTATTGTCCTTTAACTACGTATCATTCAACCAGTTGCTTCATTTAGCCGGAGTCGTTACTGCCAACTATCTTTAGATATTAGGTAAGGATAAAAAAGTGCCAAAATGTGCCAAATAGGAAAATAAAAGTGCCAAAAAAGGTGCCACTAGTTTTCATGCTTCCCATTTAGCAATAAAATAAGAACCACATTTCTAAAATAAAAGTGCACTGCTAAAATAAGATAAACCTGCTGTATAAACTTTGGGAATTAGAAAATTCTTGAAATATTACTATTTTTCAAAAGTGCCATTTTGGCACTTTGTGCCAAGTTGAAAGGATAAGTGCAAGTTGAACAAAAATAGGGACAAAAATGGCACGGTTTGAGTCAAATATGTCGATTAGCAGACTTTTTTTTAATACACAATAATCAGTAAAGTAATACCTATAGTAGGGATTACTCTCCAAAAATCAAAAATTTATTTATAAATAAATAGCGAGTATCTCAGATATCTGCCGTTTTCGTGTGAGGCACAAACTGAGCTTACTGAAAAAAGTATGCTCGCAGAAATACTAACCTGTTATTCTTTTTTCCTTGTCTTCCTCGACTTCCTCGACTTCGTACTGAATTTCTGGACAAACTGTTTTGGCTGCTTAATGAGTTCAGTGGAGGAATATTTGGATGTGATTTTATTATGCGCCCAGGTATATGGTCACTTAACACACGATCAGCGGCAAAAGCCTTCGGGTTTGCTGTATTGGGACTTAAAGCGATGCCAGTTACTACAACAGAGTTTGAATTTTGCGAATTTCCTGTTACAGAATTTAAATTTTGTCGTAAACTATTACTAATCATAACGCGAGAAGCGCCATCAAATCGATCTTTTAGATTATCGCCAATTACACGGAAACTTGCAAGTCGCATCCAACAAGTCTTTACCGTACAAGACCCAGACATTCCATGGCATTTGCATTCTTGCCGCATTTCAGCTTGCACGTGCTAAAAAATAGAAAAAATGTTTAATTTTTTCATGTTTAGTTTTTTTTATGCGAATTCTATACAATCATGTGTGAAATATTAATATCACAGAAACTTCTTTAAATATTGACTGCTCTTGCAAAATATACAAAAAAAATATCAAATTCGATTGTTGGACTATTTTCCGAAACCATAAAGTTTTTTCTTATAGCGGTCGCCCTTCATAAAAATACAACCACCGCTCAATGGCGCAGCGGGCCACTAAAGCTGGCAAAAACTCAAAATTTGAAAAGTTTTAAGCACTTTTTTATAGTTATGGTTCCTTTGATATTCCAGCCACAATAAACCAGCTCATTTTACCTCACTTCTTTCAACCCCTTCAATCACCAAGTTTTTTCCGCTAGAAGTGCAAGGTGAACTTTTCGATTTTTTGTCCTGACTTTGAGTATATCTGTGTTCGTATGGAATAGTAGCTTATGTCGAAAGGCTGACTTTATATAATACAGCATTCGCAGCATACGATTCGAATGACTCACTGGTGCCGAGCCGTTGAAGAACTTTTGGCAAATAAACGTGCAAGAAAAAGTTCCGATACCAGCAAGTCAATATTCTTATTAAACCTCATCAAAAAATTCCTTATCATTTAAAGAGTAAAGGGAATGCCGCATTATACTAAAGCTAGCTTCCCGACATAAGCTACTATTCCATACGAACAAAGATATATTTAATAAATTTTTGCAATGGAACCATAAACATCCAGTATTTAAAATGACGCCTGTTTAATTAGTTCGTGTCTCTGTCTCCGAATATAACTCAGAGCGAGATTATGCACCCGCGTCTCTAAAAGAATTAGAAAATTCGACGATGATGCTATTCTGTCTAATTGAAGATCCTGTACGTGAACGCGTAAACTTTAGCAATTGAAGATAAACAGTGTCAACCCTTTGCTTGCATTATAACATCATATGTGACACGTAAAGTTAAAAGGGACCTACGCTCAGAAAAAAAGATTTCGAGAAAAACGACTTTGAAGTTTACCAAGTTGATTTTGATGCTTCTGAACGTTTTAATAGATTGAAACTCGTTACTCGGGGGTTTTCGGGGTCGCTCATTACGAGTCCGATGTTAGTTTTCCAAAATTCAAAATGGCGGATGACTTTTAATTGATCGGAATCGCTTGAAACTCGTTACCCGGGGGTTTTTGGTGTCGCTGATTATGAATCCAATCTTGGTTTTTAAAAATTCAAAATGGCGGATCCAATATGGCGGAACAAATTTAAAATTTTGTTCGGATTCATGTGAAACTCAAAAATGTCATTGACACCGAAAACGAGGTCAGTGATTACGAATCCGATGTTCGAAAACCCCCGAATAACGAGTTTCAAGCGAATTTGATTAATTTCAGAATAGTTTGTCAGATTTGATTTTTTTGTACTTTTTTTTGTAAAAGTACCTAACTTTGAAGTGAAATTGTGAAAAACTAATGCAGCTAGTAAGCTGCGGTTTATTGCATTGGAAAGAGTGGTCCGTTTACTATAAGAGGCGATGAAAAGGTGAAAACCGATTTTTTCTGACCGTATCCTTTTTAACTTTACGTGTCACATATAATAATTTTTCATTAAATTTAATTCAATTGTTGTTGTGTCGATTCAGATGACGCCTTTGAAATTCAGCTTGCAACTCAGTTGTGGATACTGTTGCTCTTCGACCATGATACAATTTTCTATACTTTAATTTATTTATTTTATTTTTAAAACGAGATGTAGCCTTTGAATCGATGTTACTCATGATAATGCCACGTACAGGAGCTGTTGAGCGTATACGATCTCACCAAATGACCTCCTCATCGCACACGCAGAGACCAGAGTAAAATGGTCACGCTTTATCATTATGGTTTTATCAGGCTATCGAGGTTATCCTGCGATTGGTACCACCAGTGGAGAAATATTGTGGTTTTGTATTGATGCCGCTGCTTTTCTTATGATTTGTTCGCCAGTTTTGGGAAAAGCAGAGAATCTCAGCCATAAATGAGCACACAACACACGAACTTTTATCAGCTCATTGGCTATTCTGCAAAAATCGTTGGACAATGTGGTCCATTTGTGCTATATGGCAGTACACACTTACAAAATGTTCCTCTGTGATGCAGTAGCGGCCCTCTAATGCAGAGCTGGAGTATAATAACACAAACGGCAATAACGCAAATTTGTGTTATTTCCCAATTGAATGTGAAATAACACAAATTTGCTTTATTACATTTCTCGTTGAGCAATAAGACCAACTTTTATACTTAACAATTTGAGTAATAAAGCAAACTAGTGCACATATGTAGGTAGTCATCCAGTTACATTTGACAAAAAGTAGTAAATGAGCAAGTTAAATGGACGGATTTGTAAGTATTCAATTTTGAAAGTGCCCGGCGTCGCGGCGGTCCGCGTTCTCGCGCCGCCCCGCGCCGGTTTCGACGTCGTGCTCGCGTCCCCCGCCCCTCCCCTGCTTTCACAATTATATACTGGTGGCATTATAACCGTTTAGAAAAAGGAAAAATGATAAAATAACACTAGTTCACTTCTGAAACTGCTTTTTAATGTCCAAGTAATGGGAATTATTGTGTATGGTGTTATTGCATGCTGCATCCCACCCATAGTGGAATTTACCAGGTGCCACTGCTTTATTTGAAAATTTGCCTATAAAATGTGACTATAAGGCAGCCGAATGTCAGAAAATAAAGCGAGAAAGCCGTTTTATTACTTCATCTGTTTATTGCGACATGGTTCCATGCAAACATTTTAAGGCTTTCCAGCAATGTTTCTAACAACATATTAAAAAACATGCAGAAAAAATTGTGAATATTACTTTCTTCATATGAATTATATCACATTTTTTGTTTAATTCAAGGCCTATCAAACAGGTTTAGAGCATTTGAGCAAAAACAACATTTGCCTGTATTTTGTTGTTGCTTCTGGTATCGAAGGTGCCAAAAACTGTTCTGATTTTTTTCTTCTACATCAAAGCGTGCCATGCGAAATACGAAAAAGGTAAAAAATTTAAATTGAAAAAAATGAAAATTGTTGCAGCTTTCTTTCTTAGTAAATTGGTTCGCTTCTCGAAGCATTGATCCACCATCCTGTGCCAGGCCCAGTAATCAGCGGTTGTGCTGCTGAGTTGGGCGAGCTTTCCAAAAGCTTTTAATTTTTAATTTAATCGCTGGTTTTGTATGGAAAATGTTTCACATGGAAATAGATTTTAACAATTTAGAATTTTTGTGAGAAGAAATGTAAAATATTTGACATTTTCGAGAACAAATAATTTGAAAAAAAAATCAAATCAGCTGCTATACTGATATTACCTGTTCAATGTGCCTTGGTTTAATTGTATTTTTGGAATAAACAAAGTTCTTTTTCCTTCCAGTAAACTGTGTTTTTTTACAAATACTATAAATAAGCAATAGGAAATAAGGCAAAATTTGTTTTATTTCCAACCTTTGTTGGAAATAAAGCAAAACTCAGATTTTGGTATTATTTCCCATTTAAAAGTGAAACAAAGCAACCTTTGTTGGAAATAAAGCAAAACTGAGATTTGGGTATTATTTCCCATTTAAAAGTGAAATAAAGCAAATTTTGCGTTATTTCATTTTTATATCGTCACCTGAAATGGAAATGGACGTAATAAACATCATCGTTGAAATGCAAAAAGTCATAACTAATAAAAAATTCACAATTCACTTTTTAACCGACTTCCAAAAAAGGAGGAGGTTATCAGTTCGTCGTTCGTCAACCGATTTCGATAATTCTTTTTGCTTCGGAAAGGGAGTGTCTCAGAGGTGGTCCCATACTGGTTTAGATCTGATCTTTGGATCATGAAATATATATATATATATTATTTTTTTAAGCCGATTTTTTTTTGCTAAAAATTACTTGTTGATTGATATGATGGATTTCATCGAATTACAACTCCCCACATCATTTTATAAAAAAAATAAAATAAAATAAAATATTAGTCACGACATTTTGCATTTCATTTACGATGATGTTACGTCTTTTTGCATTTCAAGTGGAGTCCTACCGATTCCAATTTTTTTTCAGGTACCGACGCCGATGCCGATTCCATAAAAAATTATAAATAAATGTATTAATTCATAATATCAGTTAATTTAAAGGATGTAACAAACTCTCTTTGGCCGGGGTAGGACTCAGTCGGACCCGGAGTTCGTATACAAGAATATCCTCCGCGTTCTATATGTCGTCGCTGGCTTCCCAATGTGTGATCGTCTCCGGTGTCTTCAAATGCTGTTTTGGTGATGGAAATCACCACTCGCTGCCGATGGATACCGCCGCTGTTATCTATCGATTCACTTGGGAAGAACTAAGCAAGCCGCTGATGCTTTCGCTGCTCTTTTAAGCAAAGTCGGTCTAGCTGTACTCTGGCGTGATCGCAGGTCCGCTATCCTTTTTTTTCCGCTTTGCTCCGTATATATTTGGTTGGGTTTTCTTGCGCCGCGGCGGTGCTGGTACATAATTGTTGGCATTGTTAGTGTCGTTCGCTGTTGTTGACGAAGTACATAATCCGTTTACGGTTCGATTTGCTTGCTGCTATTCCGCTTTACATGCCATTTGTTTTTCTGCATATGAATATATTTATGTTTGTAGGTATCGGTCTATGTAGGAACCAGTGGCGTGATTTTGTTGTTTGTACTTGCTGCTATTCTGCTTTACATGTCCTTTGTTTTTCCGCATATGCATATATTTATGTTTGTGGGTTTCGGTCTATGTAGGAACCAGTGGCGTGATTTTTGTTGTTTAGAGGTGCAGAGTGTAGGTTTTCATTGTTATTTACCATCGATTAGGAGGGCGATGACGGTCAGCCAGTCGTTGGGAGGTTCTTTGTAGCTGGCGCAGAGGCGTGTGACGGTTACTCGCTCCTGCTCGTTCCCGAATATTATCTCTCGATTGTTGCTGTTCAACCTCTTTGTGATGTTGCTTTACTGGTGTAGCTTCCGGTGTTGGTTCGTCCTCGAACGGTGAAACGTAGGGCTTGATACTACTGATATGTATCCTTCTTTGACGGCTGGGGTTGTCTTGGGATGCCACCGAGGCGATTACTGGAGACATAAAACTCTCGATACGAAATGGTCCTTCAAATTTTGGGCCGAGTTTTGCAGAAAATCCATCTATCGCTTTCGACAAATGGTGGGCTTTGACCCAGACTAGTTCTCCGACTTCGAGTTTCCAAGGTCTTCTGCGAAGGTTGTAATATCGGGCCTGGTCCTGCGCTGATTTCTCGTAGCAGCGGCGCACTATTTTGAAGATTTCTTGGAGACGCAGGGCTTTATTCTACGGTGTCTCTGGGATGTGGGCTGTTCCAGGAGTTACTTCGTCGTACA